CATTTTCAAGGAGTTTCTAGGCCCCCGGTTCTCCCCTGAAAATTTCAAGGCCCGACCGTTATTTTTTAGGTGGTAGCAGCGATTTTCGATGTCGACTGAAATATTATTTTTTTTATGTTACCTTAGAAAATCGGCAATTGTGACGCAATGATTAGAGATAATAAAAATATGAGGTTATTATCTGAAAGCTTATCAAATTTCACATAAAATGAGGCCAACCTTCTTTTTTTCGGAATAATTAAAAAAATCCGGCAAGCGTCCAAAAAATGACAATGAAGAAATTTTCCAAACAAATAACTAAACATGATATGTTATTCATATGGTGTATTTTCTTTTCTTTATGTTTTCATCATACATAGTTACTTTGATCTATGAGCAAAACATTTCGAAAATGCAAACCTCCCCCTCCCACCCATGGGGGGTAGTTTTGCCAAATATTCTGGATCACCACCAAAATTTATGGAATATTAACTAGGCTAAGACAAACCTCAGGTTAAAATTTTATTCAAATCTGTTCATAACTTTTCGAGTTAGAAAAAAAATTCATGGATCCAAACCATGGTCCGCATCACCACCAAACTGCAATAAGCGTCTAAGCTGGGTTAAAACTCACTTTTGGTTAAAATCTTGTCAAAATGTGTTCATAACTTTTAGAAATCTTAGAAAACACAAACTAACAAAAAAAAAACAAAAACAAATAAACAATCAACAAACAAACAAAGAAACAAATGGAAGTAACAATATAGATAAACAAAAAGGTCATGGGTACACGAAAATTATCTATATGTGCTCANTTTGGCTTGTCTGATTGTTCTATGAGCCTGAACTCTTGCTAATTTATAGTTGCAAAAGTTCTGGTTTGTGACATTATTTTTGAAAAGCCTGTAGGCCCTATTGCATTCACGCAGTACCCTGTGGCAACCTGGAACTCTATGCTTTTACGCTATCTGTCGAAGTCTTGGGAATGGATTTCATTGCTGCATCTAAAATAGAATTTTGAATATTGTTTACTTTATCAATGGTTTCTCCAACAAGTTCGAGCTTGACGTTCCTTATGAAGGAGACCAAGTCTGCTTTTTCTACGTTAAATTTCGGTGCTGAAGGCGTTCTGGTTGTGTCGCATGAATATTTAATACAAATAGGAAAGTGGTCGCTTCCCAACAAGTCAATGGTGTGCCACAGGCACTTAGCTGCTACTGTTGAAGAGACCCGAGATAGATCAATAAAGCTTAAATTACCGCTATTATCATCCACTCACATTGGACTACCATCGTTCAGAAGGATTAGGTCTGAATCATTAACAAGCTTAACTACTTGCTCACCTCTACCATCCACCCGCAGGGAACCCCATAATGTATGATGAGCATTAAAATCACCTAAAATTACTTTATTTGGGGCAGACTATCCTGAAGAGCAAAGAGCTCATCATAAATTACCACATCAGGTGGACAATAAACTTAACATATAGTCATATACATGCTATTGACTTTTACTTTGTATGCGACAATCTCCAAAGTAGAATCTATAGTCACTTCTGTAAATGGGAGGTTCTGGTGGATGTACATGGCGACTCCGCCTCCACCCTTACCCTCTCGATCCTTCCGACACAGATGGTAGTTTCTCAACGAAACCAATTCATCAGAGATAAAGTTGTTTTAATGGGTCTCTTCGAGAACAATAATATCGGGAGCATAAGACGAGGCTAATAATCTAAGGTCGTTTACTCTAGTTCTAAGACCGACAGTTCCATTGTATAATGGTTAATGCGAAGATTATGTTTTATGGGGTTTGGAAGTGCCTTTTTCTGGGAGGGAGGCGCCTCTTCTCCCGAGCTTCCCGGTGACCTCTCGCGGGAAGACTTGGAGACAAAAGACTCCGTGTCCTGCATCTCTCTGAGGAGCTGACCAAAAACCAGGCAAACTCTTAACAGGAGTCGCCTGGATGGGAACATATGATCCAGATTGTGATTTGGTATCATCCTTATGTTGCTGCTTTTGTTGGTTTGATTCAGTAATTTGTTTTATTGTTTTGTTCAATTCAAGAATTTGACTTGTTAATTATTTTTCCATTTCCTTAATATCAGCAATTTCTTTATCCTTAGCTGCAAGCACTTGACTGATACTGCTTGCACTGGGAGTGTTGTTAGTTGCTACTGAAGCATAGGTAGTATTGGGCTTGTTGGTCAAGCCTTCAACTTTCCTCTTGGCTTCATGGTAACTAACATCATGACCTCTCATGTATGCTAATATCTCAGTCTCTTTCTTCAGGCTGCTGCACACGGCAGAGCCTGACTGATTGAGACCTCCACAGTTAGCACACTTGAAAGGGTTTCCAGTACATGTAGTGGTGTCATGAGCTCCAGCACATTTACCGTAAGTGAATTTATCAGTATCCTTATCAATACAGCGTAATGAGGTGTGTCCAAATTTTTGGCATCTATTACAGCACATAGGTTTTTGAATTTAAGATCTTACTTGGACTCGTTCGTATCCAACATAGACATACTCAGGAATTTTACTTGAAGCAAAGGTCAAAAAACACAATCCGGTTTCCGTTCGCACATTCTCATCTTTCTTGGTCCATTACGCCTTGGTCCTTCATGTTTTCAAGAATTTCACTTTCATCCATCATTCTCAAATACCTATGAAAGACTACTCCCTTACAGTTATATGGGCCAACAGAAATAGTTACTCTTACCTTGAAATCATGAATCTGCGTCAGTTTAATTGCACTTTTACAAGGAAGCTACCATCTCCTAATTTCTTTACCATTAAGGACCTTGATGAAGCAACTGATTTTCATTCACGCATCTGGCAGCCAAATACCTTGCATTCTCTGGAGGGATAGCATGAAGTCGTTCTCGTTCTCAATTGTAGTGGTTCCATTATTCATAGTCGTGGTCTTAGAAGAGTCATGGGTCGCCCCTCCTCTAGGAGTAGGGGTAGCCGGGGGATCAGACATCATGGGCATCGGACAAGTCCGACCCCTGGGCGCTTGCCCGTTGCCCTGAAAGACCAATAAACCCCTTAACTATTGGTAATCAACCTAACAGCAATGGCTAAGAGAGTGTGGCAGTTAATCGTCCTCTACCCCTCCAGTGGAAGGCTGGTTGTGTTCTCCAATACCACATAGGGATCGAGTTAAATGGAGGACACTTCCCTACCGCCAAACTTCCCGAAGCGAAGGACGGGAAGTAGATGCCCACCCCCAAGCGAATACGGGAGCCCACAAGGCTCAGGGAAGTCATATTAAGAGAAGGAAGGAATTCAGAAATAAGAAAAAGTGCCCAAAGGACGCCCCAGACTACTGGGCCTCACTACTCAGGGGTCAATGCCCGTGAGGGCTACCCTGCTGTAGAGAGCTGCAAGTCTGAGGTGGGGTGCTGACTAATCCTACTGTAGTCTCATGTGACCTGCAAGACCAAAGCACTGATATTTATTCTGTGCAATATACATTATACAACACAGAAACCACAATATAGAGCGAGACGAGAGGCCCCGGACTCTAGGGTAACAAGTGACACACGATTTTTAATTTGTTGCTGCTGCTTTTTAAAACAAGGTCTGACCTGGTCAAGATCTCATACACGAGTATGAGAGCGGTTTTTAGTTCAGTTAATATTCTATAATTAAGAAAATAATGCAGTATGTTTGGTTCTGGCGAAAAGAAGAAACTCGAGTCACGTAACTGGTTACATTAGCCGCCAACACATGGTGCAACTACGAAAAGCATTTACAAAGGACTCGGCGATTTTCATTTGATTTGCCTGCTGTACATAGATGTTTAAAAGAAATATTTAGCTTTTTATATTTCAAGAAATGTGCAGTTATTATTTATCCTTGTGTTGAAAGAAGAGGGAGGGCGAATACCGCCTGGCCTCCATAAGTGTTGCCATTTCGATGAAGAGGATTTCAGGAAATCGCATTTGGAAAATATCCCACTACAAAGTCGACGATAACTAATGTCACACGTTTTGTTGTCACTTATTTGAGGTAAATGAAAGATCAAATGACATATCCAAAATAGGATAATAATAAGCACTTGTTATTCATAGGTTTCGAATCACATTTTCTTACAAACAACATTCATGAAAGATACTATTTACGCTACGTTTACGTCGATGAGGTTGCTAGATGTACAAAAGGGGTACCCACTTGTAATGTAATTAAGAAACTGTACCTGTACCAGTTAGTAATATACGACCATTATGGCGAACCGCGGAATATCGTATTTGGATCTGAGAACATTGTTTTTGTTATCTTAGAATTATATTAAATTGAAGGTAATTTTTTTTCATGTATTCATTTTTTATTTACTTTATTTATTTTGTGTTGTTTCGCCCTCTTGCTTTTATGGGCCAGGCACTCTACATCTGTTCGGTAATTATACTCGATAATTTAGTAACAAAAGTACAGTGATTGTGTTCATGCATGGTGCTTGCGATAATGACGGGCAATTGAGACGGTCCTCGTTTCCCTTCCATTCCACAATTCGAATATTAATTGTGAGATGCCGTAAACCTGTTGTAAGGGATTAATTATATATCATTTGTGATGTTTGTTATACAGTGTGTTATGGTTGTGTAAATGAATGGTAGTTATAATTTATACTGCTGCGATTATGTCTGTGCCCTCAACACTATGTATAACTCCCCTGATAAAATGCTATAAAGTGTACAAAAAATAGTTAGGCATATATTGTTGAACAGATCTAGGGACAAAACCATATTTTTGTTCAATGTAAGCTTCATTCTTATGAGCTTAGAATACATTTCCTTTTCTATTCTACCAAATCCAAATAAATAGTTCTTATTAAATGATATCCATGAAAGTAATTATACTATTCAAAAGTCGAGAGAGAAGCGTAACCACTGTCGTCCTCACAGAGTCTAAACGGCGTTTGATTAGGGGAAATTATTCTTATTTTTACAGCTTTACATAACAAGTTGCATGCTTTGTAGGTAATAAATTGTAACTTATATGATTAAATTTATTTTCCAGACCCCGATTCCTCCAGTCGAGGTCTCTGGTGAAGGACCTCCTCCTCCTGAGTCTTCTGAAGGACCTCCTCTTTGTAAGTCTCTGTCTCCGCGCACACATACATATACATATATGCGTACATGGTTACATACATGCGCACGCACACATACAAACGTACACCTGCACACATACAAACATACATACATACGCTCAAACCCACAGATACAAGCATAGGCACATACATACACACTAAAACGCACCACACACTTTGCCATTATAATGATTGCTATATTTGCTGTGGCCATTATTGTTAAAATCGTGATTTTTTTTTTTTTAATTACTAAATACGAAACACAATGGTTGGAAACATAAGGATATGTTGAAAAATGAGAAATTGTCAGTAATGCAGCTGTCACTTTCACGCCATGCTATCTGCACTCACACACCACCCAACACAACACACAATACCCAAACACACACTATAATCCATACTCAAAATTAGCACTATTTCACCCTCCTCTCAGCTGACCAGCGCATCGTGGGAGGCAATGAGGCAGAGCCGTACAAGCGCGGGTACCAGGCTGCTTTGACATCAGGAAAATATTTCTGTGGGGGTGTTGTCATCAGTAAACTGTTTGTCCTGACAGCTGCCCACTGCATATCAGGGTGAGTACTGATGGTGACAATGTTGATGATAATGATAATAATGCTAATGGTAATAATGTAATGATAATGATAAAATTAATATAGATATTCATAATAATGATAATATAATTATCAAAAATATCAATAATGATAAGAATGATATTGATAATAAAAGTAATAATATATAACAACAACAACAGTATGCTGGCATAGCCCAGTCCTGTTTCTGCATATGTTACAGCTTATACATTTTTTACTCTTTCTTCTCGCCATAATAATTTGCTCTCCTATCCTTTCCTTTCATTTTCCTTTTTTTCTTCTTTCCTTAGCAATAAGAATGAGCAAATGAATGTAACTGTAGGCATACACAATCTAAAGGTGAAGGAGAAATTTACCCAGCGGATTCCCGTTGCAAAAGCATTCGTTCATCCGGACTATTACAGTGGACGCCATGGCCCAACTAATGACATTGCTGTCCTAAAACTAGAACAGGAAATTAAGATGACTGGTGCGTTGTAATGTTATTTTTTCGGTTCACGTTTAAGGGTGTTAATGTGCTTGTTTGTGTGTGTGTGTTTGCATATGTGTGCATGTGCCTATATATTTATACATTGTCTATACACGTTTTCGTAAAAGTCAATGAAATAATAGCATTGAGACTGAAGCTAGCATTTGGCTTCATGTCTCTTATTGCTGTGTACGCTTCCGATGTTTGTAAACTTGACGTGAAAGAGATGTTCTACGCCAAACTTGCATCTGTTGCAGACAGTTGTCCCCGGCGAGATATCCGTATTGTTCTGGGTGACTTCAATGCGGAATCTGGCTGTGATCGAGCTGGCTATGAGATGTCTGTCGGTCCTCATGGTTCGGGAGCTGATACCGGCAGCGAGAATAGCCTCCTTTTCCAGGACTTTGCTAGATCCCAGGATTTGAGGATTTCTGGTTCCTGGTTCCAGCACTCAGACCCACATTGTTGAACATAGTACAGCAATGTGGGTAATGCAGCCAAGGAGATTGACAACATACTCGTTAGCACTCGTTGGAGGATCCTCCAGAATTGCAGGGTGTATAGGAGTGCTGAGTTCTGTGGTACTGACCATAGATGTGGCTACCTCTGGGTACACTTCAAAACTCCCCAGCGGTCTAATGATCACCCTAGGGCGTTTCATTTGGACAGGCTGAATCAGGGGGAGAGTGCTTAGGGTTTGCTGAGGCAATCTCTTGGCGTTTCACAGCACTCGATAATCTGACGGACCCTGTACTTCTGTGGGACACCTTCAAGCGTGAAACACTTGATACAGCCCAAGAATCGTTTGGTGAACGCCCGAAGACAAGACAGAATTTTATCATGGGAGACACTGGAAGATAGATGCTTGCCATGCAGCTCGTCTGACAGGGGATTGGGATTTGCACCATTCTCAGGTGTGCAGAACTCTGTCTCTGTTAAGAAGGGGCAAGGAACAGCATATTAGGAGTCTTGCTGAGGAGGTCGAAGGCCTCTTAGTAAATGACCTTCGTCCTGCATACCAAGCCCTAAGAAATCTCCAAGCCTACTTCACAAGTGACTGCAATTCGCTTAGTCTCAGATCCTGTTGCAGTGTTGGAGCGTTGGACTGAGTATTTTGAGCAGTTGTACCAGATTGACCCACTAACAGTTAACTTGGATGTGGGTAGTGCCAAGATTACGTTGCCAGACCAACCCATCAATGAGGATCCATCCTCCCTAACTGAAGGTATGGAGGCGATCTCCAAGCTGTAGAATGGCAAAGCAGTGGCATTCCAGCTGAACTGTTAAAGGCTGGTGGGGAACCTATGGCACGGAGGTTGCATGCTGTCCTAGCTGCCATCTGGCGGTCCGGTATCGGTCCCCCTGAGCTATTAAGGGGTGTGGTCATCTCTCTCTGGAAGGTTCTTGCCACATCTTTCTGAGACGTATCAGGAACCACTACTGAGGCATCAGAGGCTGAGCAATCTGGATTCACTCCTGGTAAGTCCACAATAGACCATATCCTTGCGCTTCGAGTCATTGTAGAGCACCGTCGTGAGTTCGGGCATGGGCTGCTTGCAGCCTATATCGACCTCAAGAAGGCGTTCGGGAATCACTCTGGGAGAACCTGAGACTGAGAGGAATTCCAACAAGGATTATTAGACTAATAGCAAGTCTGTATACTGGTACTGAAAGTGCTGTAAAGTGTGGTGGGAGCTTGTCGAACTTCTTTCCTGTTAGTTCAAGAGTGAGGCAAGGCTGTGTCCTTGCACCAACACTTTTCAACACTTGTATGGACTGTACACGGGGACGAGCTACTGTTCAAAGTCATCGTGGAGCAACTCTGGGCAATATCAAGGTTACAGACCTTGACTTTGCTGATGATGTTGCTATTCTGAGTCTTTGGAAACCTTAGTGGTAGCTCTTGATGCATTTAGAAATAAAGCAAAGCTTGGGTCTATAGGTCTCCTGGACCAAGACCAAGATCCAGGACTTTGGAACCTGTTCAGTCAGAGAGCTTTACATACCTTGGTAGTGTAGTTCATAACTCAGGGCTGTCAGACCAGGAAGTCAGCAGGCAGATTGGCCTAGCAGCAAGGGTCTCTCGCCAAGAGTATCTGGAGATGTCGGTACCTGTGCAGAAGGACCAAGCTACAGATTTACAAAGCCCTGATCATACCAGATTTGCTATACGGTAGTGAAGCCTGTGCCTTTGAGTCTCGTCTTGATGCCTTCTGTAATAGGTCCTTGTGCCGGATCATTGGGTATTGTTGGCGGGACCACATGTCCAACCAAATTGAACGGTGAGACTGCTCAGGACCTGTTATCTGCACAATCCGTGATCCAACTCAGGCTATATGGCCACCTGGCTCGCTTCCCACAGGATGATCCTGCTCACCAGGTTGTCTTTGTAAGAGACAACCCGGGTGGAGGAGGTCTGTGGGACGACCGAGGAAGTCGTGGCTTGGGCAGACCGATCAAACCTGTTGTGAGGAGCTCGAGATGGGCTGAGTCTCTACCTGGCAGCTTGCTATGAGGGACCCAAAAGGTGGAAACAAAGGGTGGACGTGGTTATGCGCCCCCGTCGGCGTAAGCTTAGGTGATGAATGAAATACGCTGTCATATATGCATACATACATACATGTATATGCATATGTACATATATATATATATATATATATATATATATATATATATATATATATATATATATATATATATACATATATATGTTATACATATATAGATATATATGCATCATATATATAATATATATATATATATATATATATATATATATGTGTGTGTGTGTGTGTGTGTGTGTGTGTGTGTGTGTGTGTGTGTGTGTACATACATGTTTAATATATATACATGCATTAAAAAAAAAACGCATTTCGTTTCCTTCTCAGATAAAGTTTTTCCTCTCAAATTGCCGACTCATCCAGTGAAAGCAGATACGCCAGTGGTGGTCACCGGTTGGGGAAGAACCAGTAAGTAATATAAGCACTTAATAAGACAGTGAATGGTTAATATATATATATATATATATATATATATATATATATATATATAATGTGTATGTGCTTTTTACAAAAATGAAGATTTTTTTCTTATATACACTGTCAAAGTGTAGATATATATGAAATTAATTTCTTATGATCCCCCCTCCCGCCATTTTTAATCAGAAGCTGAATTTCATATAGTTTTTCCCTCTGAATACCAATCTATTCGTTCTTACCATCACCTGAATTGCAGTGTCGGAAGATAAAAAAAGCTGACTGCTCTCCAAGAAATAGTTACCCGGATCATGACTGCTCAGAGATGTAAGCAGCTGGTTCCGTTCGCGGGCGAAAGCATATCTGCACACATGCGACGAATGTTAGCCCCTGTAATGTGAGTCGCTCTTTCTTGGTCTGCTGAATATTTGGGATATACTCTGTCCCTGTCTGTTTCTCTTTCCTTCTGTCTAATTGCCTGCCCGTCTATCTGCTTCTCTCTTTCTCTGTTTCTCTGCCTCTTTCTTTCTCTATCTTTATCTCTCTACCTCTCTTTTTCTCTATCTCTCTGCCTCTCTCTTTCCCTCTCCATAAGGAAGAGGAATTACGCATAATGAAAAGTTACTTGTTTCCTGAAGATAGAATTAATACCTAACATCAGCAGTGGAGATTATTTCTCTGTCTCTCGCTTTCCTCCTCCTCTCCCTATTTATCCTTCTCCCTCCTTTCCTGTTTGTTCCTTTCTCCCTTCCTCCCTCTCTCTGTCTCTTTCCCTATCCATCTGTTTATTTCCTTCCTTTTCGGTTTGTTCCTTCTCTTTCCCTATTCATCTGTCTATTTCCCTCCTTTCCCAGTCCCTTTCTCACTGAACATCACTTCGTTCATCTATTCCC